ATCCTTATTCTAAAGGACCCGAAAAAACAAGGTACCCCTAATATAGTACCCTAATATAGTAGGATCCTTATTCTAAAGGACCCCAAAAATAAGGTACCCCTAATATAGTACCCTAATATAGTAGGATCCTTATTCTAAAGGACCCCAAAATAAGGTACCCCCTAATTTTTTTGGAGACTCCCGCCTGAACCACCGAATCTTCTGCAAGCTGCTGCAGCAGATCGACCTTGGCTCAGAACAAAGCCTCCATGACACCCCTCCTCCTCCCAGTGCTAGATAACCATGCGTACAATCAGAGTACTTTTTTTTGATGTGTGTGTATGATCGGGGACAGCAGACATGAATCAGGACAAAGGCACAAAAGCAAAAAATGAACAAAATTGGAAGCTTGTCGGCACACAGCGCCCATGTTTCACTCTTATGTTGTCCGCAGCTGCACCTTCCTCGATAGGAGTGCGACTCGATCGAGAAGGACTGCAAGTGCTTGCCCATGTAAGTTTAATTTGGACATTTGGCATTTCTGGTCGAGGATGTCCGCTGGAAGAGTGGTTGAGACATGAGCAAAAAATCCTGCCAGATCCCCCCAGGAAAAGTCAATGTGAGTAGCGAAGCAAGCTGACATTGCTAGAGAAGGTTTTCGGCGTCGGGCGTTGTTGTGGCTCTATTTCCTCGTTTGAAACGACTCGCCTGGGAGGGGGGGATTCGCTTGCCTTCTCCACATCATGAGCCTCGATATGTTTCAAAACAAACTCTCTCGCAAGCCTGGCTTCTTCAACCTTCGATGTCTACTGACAAATCTCAGCGGTGAGGAGTTGACACTAGCAAAAAGGAAGTATAAAGAAAGTGAAGACAGCTCATTTTGAAGCAAATGCTGCCATCTGCACGTCGGGCCATTGTGGCATGGCCTGAAGCCCTCGCAAGCAGGTAATGCACTGTTTGAATCTTCCTTCTTGGGAAGAGAGGGTCGGCATCTGCGATGCAAAGTGAAGAATTAAGCAATGCGGGGTCACATTGACTGCTCAATTCGGAGATCTGCGTGCAATCTGAGGCATCGACGGCGCGGCACAGCGGCAGAGCAGTTTCGAAAGAGGTGACATCCAAATGGCAAAAGTCAGGAGAGGCATCGATCTCCATGGCCTTGCAGGCATGGGAGAACGTGGATGGCTCCCATGCACCCCGCCGCTGTGGCTGCCTCGTGCATGAAATAAGCTTCCGTGCTTTTGTCCCAGGTCTTGCCTCACTGTATCTCAACGATAACTTCATAAAGAAAAAGAGGCGAAGATGCATCACAGAGGAGAGAGAGAGACTTGCAAGGTCGCCTTGTGACTTCGCAGCGGCCAGAGCCTCCTTGCATGCCTCGCCCTCATCAGGCCTTGAGCCATCGGAGGAAGGGATATGGGGTATGTCTGGCGGATGTTCCATCAGCGAGGGAGGCAGGAAAGGGGTTTTTTTGGGAAGCGATACTGATGACTGAGGCCGCTGCTCCACGATGCGATCGTAGAGTGCAGCACTGAGGGCCACCAGCCGCCAGGGCCTGGAGCTTCTCACGTCAGAACGAGAAGGAGAGAAGCGCCGGTGCCCTTAGGCAGTTGCTCCAGCTGCAGCAGCCGAAGAACCTGCCAAGCACTTCGGACTTCCCGGGCAGAAGGCTGTCTGTCTCAACTCGACCGGGTCAGGCACCCGCTGCGGCTCACGGTAGGAGCATTGCATGAAGACGAAGAGCGCAAGGCGTCCGATCCCGTTGTGTGAACCTGCTCTGCCAAGGCAAAGCTCAAAGGCTGCCATTGAAAAAAAGCGTGTAGGCTCACGGCGAACACCCACGAACTCGGAAAGCAGTGCCAGGTAGCTGGGATTGTGTCGCCTGCTTCCTGCCTGACCATGTGAAACGACATGCAGAAAACCTCTGCTGGCCGCCAACACCGAGGAAGCTGCCGAAGCATCTGGCGACTCCGTCTGCTCGAAATGAGGCCTGAAAGTTCTTGCTCGACTCATCCCCAGAAGCATCATACGATGGGATGATGCTGAGAGGATGTTGCGAGCAAGCACAAGTGCCACCATGTGCAACCTGCAGCTGGCTTTGAGGGCTCCCAAGCCTCTGTGACCAAAACGGGTTGAAGGCGGAGAAGGAGCTGCTACGGCCTGACAGCATTGAACGGCGATGCCACAAGCACCACAGCCGCAAGGCCATGGACGGCACCTGAGCCTCCAGGTGGGTAGGTGAATGCAAACTCGGCCAGGAGGAGCCGATGAGTCGGCAGAATCGGACCGTCCTCCGGGCTCTTGCGGTTTTGGGTCCAGTCAAGTCGCGAGATTTCAAACCGGATGCCTGCAGGAATGCCGCACCAGACCACATGCTGGAAAGAGCTCGCTCAGAGGTGTTTTGCGCGTGTAGGCGGGAGAAAAGCACGTCTCGCTGCAGCAGAATGCGGACCTTGACAGAACAAAGAAGCTTGCCCGATTCATACAACGTTGCCGTGGGCCCGGACAACATCCAGGCCATGTCGAGCACACTGCTCCAGGTATGCTTGAGAGGCACCTGCTCTTCTTCCATTTGCGAGCCTGCAAATTCGGGTGCTATCATGTTGCCACGAACGATGGCAAAGCAAGGACCCGGCCCGTCCATTGCGTGCCCCTGGAGCGTAGTGAGATACAACCTCGCTGCCGTGCCATCTGATGCATACCGATGGTGCTGCAACTCGAGATGTCATCTCTGGAAAATCGACTTCTCTTTCTGCACTTGGACGGCGCACACTCGAGCGAAGACAGGCGAGTCCAAGCTCAGCAAGCACCTCATGACGTGATGTGCCGTCGCGCTAAAAACTTATACTTCTATATTGCACTACATGAGAAGGAGGCTTTGCCAGGATGCGGACCTGAACGCATAGGCTGTGGCGTTGCCCGCAGCGCAACGCCTCAGAGGCCACAGTGACTGCAGCCGAAGCTTTCCTACCCTCTGCACCAAGCGTTTCCGCTCACTGGGGAGGCTGCATGGAGACTTCGGCCGCGGTGCTGTCGCTGTCACTGTACGGCCTGGAGGCCAGGGTCACCAGGGCAAAAGAAGGCAACGAGAGTGGCTTTAGGGTTTATAGGGTTTAGGATGGTTTAGGGTTTAGGGCGCCTCACAATCAAAGCATTGAGACTGGAGGAAGTGCTCATCGGCAAAGGTCCGCGCCTGAATCCACGCGCTGAACCCAACTATACACGGCACGGGAGGCAACGAGTCTCAGCTTGAAACAGCACAAGACGAAGCCAGCGCAAGGTCAATGCCTGGGCCACCAAACTCCAGGACTGCCGTAGACTGCCAAGGAAGTTGCTCTGAATAGAATAGAATCGAATAGAATAGAATAGAATGTAATAGAATAGAATGTAATATATCTGGGTTCTGAGCTCCGGGCTGCCAGCCTCCAGTACCGAGAGCTGCTTCGGAACGCAGATGGCTCGGCAAGGGCCTTCAGCAGCACCTTCGGCTGCGGGCTTTGCGGGGTTTAGGGTTTAGGGCCTCCTTAAAATGAGAGCCAGCCTGGTGGATCACCACATGCGTGAGGGGCTGCAGGTCCAAGCCATAGCGGCCCTTGCTGATCGGGATGGCCTTCTGCTTCGAAAGCTCACCCAGTCAACAAAAAACACGGCTGAAAGATGCACCTGCAGAAAGCGAATCACACAGGCCAGCAGCTCAATGGCGACCGCTCCATCCTTAGGGCTATACATGTTAGTACCAGAGTGCCAAAGCAAAGCGCTTGCACGCTGCATACTCAGCCATGAACACACACGCGCGGATGTTCGACGAAGGGAACAAGGCTAGGAACGGCCATCAAGATTGAGGAAATGATGTTCCTGCTCACCTCAGTGATGTTGAAGAAAGCTTCAGCATGTCCCGGACCTACGACAGCCGCCTCCTAAGTCCGTGACTTGAGGTGGAGGCAGGTCCAAGTTGCCCAACCTGAACTCAGGCTTCAGCAACGCTCATAGGAAGTGGCCACCGCGTTACTTGGGCAAAGCAGTAGATAACACCCCCCCAAAAAAAGTGGTAGGGCAAGAGCTTGAACCACAAGCGCCGTCATTCCCATACAAGAACGGAACATGGGGAGCAGATTACCGGAGCACGAGGGACCTGCAGCTGGAGCTAGGACTCCCTAAGCTGAGACCTGCAGGAGGCGGCCCTATGCAATTTCAATATGCTGCAATCATCGACAAGAGTATAGGGGACTTTCAAAAAAATTAGGGTTCCTTATTTTGGGGTCCTTATGATAAGGATCCTACTATTTAGGGTGCTATTTTAGGGTCCCCTCTTTTCGGAAACCCCCATATGCTGCAAAGGAGAACCACTGTGGCACGACTGCCTTCCGGATGAAATGGCCCGTGTGAGCCGTTGCGACATGTCATCATCAATGACGATTACGATTCAGTTTCGGCCCCTCGGCATCGAGGAAACTCGCCGGTTTCTGAGTGCAGCACGCACCCAAGCAAGCAGCTTTGACAGCTGGTTCTGGATGTGCACTGAGCACGTCGACCTCTGAAAAGCAAACCAGGGAGGGTGGGGATGCACTTCGGATGCACAGAGCAGACAGGCTGGGCCCTGCGCCAGGATGCCCGCCAGGTTTTCCGCTCGTCCCCACGGGTCGCCGAGAGAAGAGGCCACCCCTGTCAAGCTGTCGCTACAAAGCGAGGATGGAGTAGAAGCAGGGAAAAGCTCCTGAGTTGAGGCTGTTCGCGATGGGCTGCATGGTCGGCTGCATGACCTGCAGTGTCGCCAGCCTTCCCTACGACCCTATGATGCCCTTCCCGAAGAGGCAGCGGCCAGTAATCGACCTCCGCAGGCACCAGACACAAGTCTGCCTGTCATAATGCAAACAGGAGCGTATGTTCCTGACCAACTCGACATTCAGCGCAGCGGAGGGAACACAGGCCGGCGGGGCACAAAGCCATGACCATCGCATCCCCGGCCGATGGCCCAGAACCTAAGCTTTCTGAACACTCGCCCACTGAAACGTGCTTTGCAGAACTCGGCCTCCACCGGTGCTTTGAGGAAGTCGGGCCTGCACACACGGCGGTACAGGACAGAACACCAGATGATATGAAAAGGCTATGCCCCAGGCATGCTGCATCAAAGTGTCAAGCAGGAAACTCCAGTTGAACCACTGGTTGCTATGTGACCTCGCGAGACCGCAGCTTCGCCAAAGGTTAACAGCTACTTGGACTGTCATGGGTGGCTGAGAGCATCTGTGAAAGCTGCGGGTGCGCACGTGCGTGACTGCGTGTCTGAATGCGAGCCGTTGTCTGCGAGTCTGCAATTGGTACATTCACGGTGTCTTTGTCTTTCCCGCCCGGAGGGGGTAGCGGCATAAATTTTTGAAAACCCTAAGCCCTAAGCCCCCAAAGAAGCCCTAAAATCCTAAACGGACCTAAACCTGAAGCCCGGCGCTGCCCCGGCAGGATGCATGGCACAGGCAACGGAAGTATGACTAACAAAAAAACCTTCAGCAACATCCGCAAGCCACAACTGCACTCGGAGGGCTTCGGGCGGTTAGGATTCGCTAATTCTAGCTGCAAGCGGCCCCATGATCACAGCAGTGGTATCTGAAACAATCATCTGGGGATACACTATCAGTCACTGTCCTGCGGCCGGAGGGTGCTTTATGGTCAACAACAAGCTTCTATCGACAACCGCCTGCTTGGCTCAGTGTCTCGTGTATGCTCCGTTTGAATTGGCTGGTAGCGCTTGTCGCAATGAGTGACATGTTTAACAAGAAGCTGGGCTTTGAACAGCAGCTTCTGGCACACGAGGCTCGCGGTCTGCAACGACCTGAGAACATCGCCAACCAAGATGGTTTTCTGCAATGGTGGCCCGCAGCGCGTGCTGATCTTCACCGTGGCAGCAACAGGGCCATGGAATAGTGCTATGCTCGCGTAGAACTCATCAAAGCGTATAAAAAAAGACTGAGTATAGGACCCTCTCGCACAAATGGTGGCAACCAGATCCAGAATTTCAGCATACAACATGGTGTTGTCCTGGCCGGGCGAAGAAGCTCCGAGGCCCCGCCAACAAGAGGTACAACTTGCCAGGAAGGCATGTCTTGGCGCCGTGGCCTGCATTGAAGTTGCTGCCTCGGCATTCTTAAACGCTTATATATATATATATATGTGTGTGTGTGTATGTATATGTATGTATGTATGTATTTACGTACGTACGTACGTACGTAC